TTCATGAACGGAATGTAGAAAAAACCCTCACTGACCTTCTCATGCAGGAGAATGAGAGTGTACGCACTGCTGCATGCCAGGCTGTGGCAACAGTGAGCAAAAACCTTTCCAGCAGAGATACGTTCAGAAGTCTGGGTAATCTCACTGACATCAAGCATCCGGGCTTGTTTTTATTTCCCTTTTTAATTCATTCTGACTTTAGTTTTGTCAAAATGATCACTCTTGTCCTTTTGTGTCATTGAAGCGCTGATGTGTCTGTGCATTTCAGATGCGATTAAGCCCATCGTGCAGCTGCTGAACAGTGAAGGAAGTGAGTTGAGAATGGCTGCAGCAGAGGCCCTGTCCGGCTTGACCAACGACAACAATCTCAATGCTCAGTGAGTCATAATTTCAAAATGCAATAAGATTATATAGTCAGTACAGTATTGCACAGCTCCATAGTAATGCACCTTTCTTTATCAATTTTTCAGTGCTATACATGATGCAGAGGGTGACAAGCTCTTGGTGCAACAGCTGCGAGACAGCTGCATGGGAGCAGCTGTGTATGCGGCATCAGTCTTGACAAACATGGCATCGCAGGAGGAGCTGCGCAGAAGCATTCTGGCCCATGAAGCTATGCCAGCATTGGTGGAGCTGCTACACTCCACTGACAATAACATACTCATCAGTGCAACGCAGGCTGTGGCTTCACTGGCCTGTGATGCAGAGGCCAGGATGGAGGTAACAGTGCACTGCACAAAAGAGGCAATTTCACAGGTCTATACAATCGCCACAGCTTATCAGCAAACTGAGTGTAGGAAAAACAAACTTTTTTTCTGTGTCAGTGGGTGTGAAGGACGTAAATGGATATTTTTGTACTTTACATTATGTGCAGTTTCTGGTAATTGTTTGTTTTACATGCAGCTGAGAAATGTTGGAGGCCTGTCACCTTTAGTACAACTGCTCAAATCTATCAATGCTGAAATTCGGAGAAATGTTTCCTGGGCAATTAGTGTGTGTGCAAACGATGAAATAACAGCCCTAGAATTGTGTAATGCCGGGTAAGCATGTTTTATGCTTTAATACACAAAATTTCCCACACTAAAATTCACATTTCTAAGTCTATATATGAACATAATATATAAGGCAAGTTTCCATTCCTCAGACTGATGCTATGAGCCTTGGATTTAGGGAAAATAAATTAATAAATAGAAATGAATAAATAAAAAAAAAAACAACATCTAGGCTTGAGATGTTTGCAACATTTGTAGAATTAACTGTTAAAGTAAAAACCAATAGATGGCAGTAAATTCCAAGTATCAGATTTCTAGATGAGAATGAAGCCTATTTTAGGACTAGATTTTACATTTGTGATTATTTTCTATGACAATTATACACGTTTTCCTCCAAACATTTTATTCCTGTACTGCATATGGACATTTTATATAAATCACATTATTAGTAGCCATTTCCATTATATTCTAATCACAGTATTTTTGTATTTAATATTTTATATATATTTCTTTATATAAATCAGCGTCAAACCAACAAACACTATGAAATAACAATATGTATAATATGTATGTCTATGTATTTAATATGTATTTTTTCACTACATTATATCAGAATCAGGCGATTAACTATTATAATTTTTTATAAAAATAATGACACAAAGCAATACTACTACTAATGAAATCCTAATGGTGCTATAATAGTTAAAAAAAAAAAAAAGTATTTCTTTTGATTTGGGGGTGAAATAAGACCAGGACATGTTCCTGAGAGATTCTAGTTTTGAGAGATTCACTCTTTCAGATGTTTTGGCTGGTTAAGGGTCTCTTTATTGATTGTTCAGTGATTTAGATTTGTTGTCATCAATCTTACAGAGCTCTGGAGATACTCCAGGAAATCAACCTGTCACCAAACCGTAACAACAAATTTAGTTAGCTGGCACTACAGAAGCTTCTGGACAGTAATCTATCGTTGAAGTATAGTCTGACAGGACACCTGTCAGCCAGCGATATAACTACAGATGGCTTCTACGACCCTGGACAGGTCCAAATGTGAATGTTTTTCAAGAGCCAAAATAAATCCTCACTCGCAGAGGTTGCATGCATCAGTCAATCTCTCTTTTCTCTTGCTTTCTCTTCTTCCTTCTGCAGATAAGAATGAGTCATCAGGTTCCTACCTTGGAGGAAATATCAAAACAAGTTGTCAACAAACATCGAGCCACTATAGCAGTGACTGGGAAACCCCTGGATCAGTATGTTAAGGCCAAGGGTCATGCTTTGGCAATCCAAACCTGCTGTTTCATGAATCTTGCTCAAACATTGTATCAAACCGCTCCACAAATAATAATTTCCTCACTGATTTAATGCATTCATAGTCATTTTAGGGGAACATTTAATCAAATGTACGCTAAATGCCTTTTTCACTAGTATTTAGATCTCTTTTCAAATCAGAGAGAAAACAAGCTCTTTGTGGAGAATAAAGACTTTCAGAGCCCGCCCTCTTCCACACCATTAGTTCTACAGCAGCACACTTGAATATTAAATACCTCTGTTGCACAACAGAGAGATGTAGATAGATGAATTTCCCCAGGGGAAATTCTTTTGCATGCATTGGCTCGGGAATCTGGCCCAGAGATCCCACAGGAGAAATGGGAATTCTGCCATTGAGGCCCAAGCAACACAATTTATGCTCAGTTCAAGTTAATTACATCTGACGATTCTAAATTACAAACAGAACATTACTTGACCGCTTTAAATGTTTGTTTTTGTGTTTGTTCTGATGCACTAATCTTAGGGTTTGTGGATTCAGTTCTACCATTGTCAAATGCCAAGTGAGCACAAAGGTCATTTGATCCACAGCTCTAGGAAATGTTGTGATGGTTTTGCATAGTGAATGTTAAAGGCATAGTCCACCCAAAAATGAAAATTTGATGAAAATGTACTCACCCTCAGGCTATCCAAGATGTAGATGAGATTTGTTTCATCACCGGAACAAATTTGGAGATATATAGCATTATATGACTTGCTCATAGTGGATCCTCTGCAGTGAATGGGTGCCATCAGAATGAGAGTCCAAACATCTAATAAAACCATCACAATAATCCACAAGAATCCACCAGTTAGTGCCTTGTGAAAACTGTGTTTGTAAGGAACAAATCCATCCTTAAGGCTTTTTAACTTTAAACTATCGCTTCTGGCCAAAATACCAATCCATAATCCATGATAATGCTTCCTCCAGTAAAAAGTCCATCCCATTTTGTCCTCTCACAGCAAAATCCACCAACATATTTGTTTAGAACTGTTTTGCACTGTTTTCGCTTGTGAATAGTGCTTGATCTGTGCATATTTCTTTCATGATTCAGATGCAACTTTAGTCTTAAAATATTTTAATGAAGAATTGGTTTATTACAAACATGCGGTTATAGTGGATTAAGTTAATTACTTGTGGATTATTGGGATTTGGACTGTGTTTGAACTCTTATGGCAAACATTCACTGCAGAGGATCCATTGGTGAGCAAGTGATGTAATGCAAAATTTCTCCAAATATTATCCAATGAATAAACACACTCGTCTACATCTTGGAGTAAATTTCCAGCAAATTTTCATTATTGGATGAACTGTTCATTTAAGGTTAAAAAAATACTCATTCTTCTATCAGATTTATTACCAAGGAACCAGATGATTGTAAGCAAGATAGTCCAACAGAAACTACTGCCTCATCTGTTTTGAGCAGCAAAAGGAGCAGCAAAACACCAAGGTGTGTGTGCGTGAGTTGTTTTTACTTTCGGTAAACCATCTTTCTCACTCTCATCTCTCTTTTTAAAGTAAAATGAAGGGAAAGGGTAACAAAGAGGATGAGAAAAGGAAGGATGAGGATGAGTATAAGCCACAGCCAGAGATGGTGGTGGATGAAGCATGGAGCTTGCCGTATGACGCTGCATTTCATAATCTTGTCAAAGAGGCAGTCGAATCCATCTCGCCATTTCAGGATGTGGTCAAAATGTATACGGCTTTGGCCATGTGAGTTTTTTCTCATTGTCATCCCATATTCAACATCCACATGGCTGAAATATGACAAGTAATGTGATTTTTTCACAGGTTAGTGTGTGATGCAATGGGCGGCCAGGTTGAGCCAGAAAAGCTACATGACTTTCTGTGGGAACTGCATATAAGCGAGCTGAAATTCGAAGCCTGTTCCAACATCGTTCTCATTGGAAAAATAAAAAAGGGCACCTACTTTCATAGAGCATTGCTTTACAAGGTAATTTATGCATCCTTATGTGCTCCAGAGGTCCTGTGCTATTGGCAGAACCCTCTCTCTTCTTGACTGTCTATAAAGATGGTCTGACAGTGACTTTGTGCAACCAAGGATGTAACCACATATTCAGCAATAAGAATCACATATTGAAAAGACTAAATAAACCACTAATGTGAATATTTGGTGCGAAGTGTGGTTATGGCTTCAGTTGCAACAGATATTTCTGCCCAATTGTGTGTAACAGATTAATTGCTATCCATTTTAGGTTCTTGCAGACCGAATTGGGCTGAGCTGCAGTCTCATAAGAGGAGAATACAACCGTGCCTGGAACGAAATCTTCATTACCAGTCCAAAGAAAACTTATGGTTACTCTCAGCCTGAATGTTATATCATAGATCTCATGCATCAACCTGGAAACCTCATGAAAAGCAACTCACCAGCAGCTCTAGCATATCACACCATTTAATAGCAATATTATGTTGGTATTATGTCTACACACACACACACACACACACACACACAGTTCAGATTTATTTAATTTTGGTGTCGGGGTCAGCTGGTTAATGCATCATTTTCTATTTTGTTTATTATAGCCTACTCTGTCAAAGTGAAATGAATTTAATTCCAATAAAGTATTATCAAAATTATGTGAATTCTGGTCAAATCTTAGTTACACTGTATTATCTCTGATTGTAATAACCGGTTGTAGAAGGCGGTACACGTTTCTCTCCCACATGAAGGTCAAAGTCTGCGATGAAATATGATAAGAGCGAAAAAATTCCGATAAGACAGAAAACAAGGAACCCAAAAATCACATTTTTATAAACTTCGACGCGCATGATGCGGTTAGTCCATTGACAAGAGGTGCAAAGATTGATCAGTTTCAGCCAGTCGACCGTGACCCATAAAGTCTAAATTGTGACCGGTTTCCGCTGCTCGAGCTGTGAGGGGGGGAATGCAGACCGCTGAGCTCAATTCAGCTTCTTTTCAGTCTTTTGGGGTAGCTTATGTGAACTAATATTGAAGAAAGTCAGGCCACTGGATGAAATCATATGTCGAAAAAAATGTCTCGTTTTCTAATTCGCTTCTCCTCTCTCGTTACCAACGGAGCGACTGTCAAATCAATTTTACCTCAGAAGAGAATATTTGTAGGGATTCGGCTGGTGTCTACATCAATGGGTAGGGATTTTTATCCTCGATCTATATTGTGTTTACAAATGAAGTACCTCAGGATATGCTTTCTATTGTAATTATTGTATTTTGTGCAATTCCATTTCGTTATCTAGTAAGTCGGTGCAAAGTGCAGTTATTCTAGTCATGTAGCTCAGAACGTGTGACCTGATTACTCAAACACTGAGTTGGCTTTTGAGAAAGGCTTGCAAAAGTTTCTGTGATGCATGTTCAAATAAATATAGGCCTAATTAAAAAAAAATGTTCATATTTAATTTTAAAGGGCTTTTAAAACCTGCTAGAGATATACAGCCAAGAATTACAACTAATTAAAAAAAAAAAAAAATTTTTTTATATATATATATATAATCATCTCAGCACTGACGCAGGAAATTACTCCAAATCAAAAAGAAATGCACAATATATATAATTTTAGATATAATAGTATATTTTAACTAATTAGATAGTAGCCCATAACACTGATATATTCGATTTTTTGACTAATACCACAAAATATCTCGGAAATCTCATCAAATTCATGTTTGTGTTGATAGTGTTTTCTCAACAGAAAGGATTTCACTGCCTAGAGAATGATGTCATTAAAGACCTAACTTTGTTATTTTAGAAGACAAATATGATAGAATGTAAAATTTCTACTAATTAAAACAATATTCTCAAGACATTTTTGTTTGAAACATTTTCATTAGAGAAAGGTTATAAGGAAAAAACACTTGGATTTTTTTTTTGTAACAATTCTTTACAAATTGTGAGATTAGTATATTATCCATTATTAAGACGTATGTGTTGGAACAAAAAAATGTATTGCGTTTATGGCTGTTTATACAGGTTTGCAGTCACTGACACGTTATGACCAGTCCACAGATTGGCAGAGGAAGCAGACTCCAGAACAGTATGTTGTTACAAGAGAAAAAGGCACAGAGGTGGTAAGCTAACAAAGAAATAATAATGTTTAAAGTAGCTCATTTGGTAACTCCAATAATATAATTCACACAATTTTCAGTTCACACAATTTTCTGGATACTTTAATATATCTTTGAGGGGGGGGGGGGAAAGAAGACGTATGTGTTGGAACAAAAAAATGTATTGCGTTTATGGCTGTTTATACAGGTTTGCAGTCACTGACACGTTATGACCAGTCCACAGATTGGCAGAGGAAGCAGACTCCAGAACAGTATGTTGTTACAAGAGAAAAAGGCACAGAGGTGGTACGTTAACAAAGTAATAATAATGTTTAAAGTAGCTGGTAATTTGGTAACTCGCATAATATCACACAATTTTCTGGATACCTTAATTTGCCTTTGAGAAAGAAAAAATAAATAAGTACACACTTTTTATTTTATAGCCATTCAGTGGTATCTACTTGAATCACAATGAGGTCGGGATGTACCACTGTGTTTGCTGTGACTCCCCTCTTTTTAGGTAAGAATTTTTTAAAAGCTAAATCAAAATACAATTAAAATTGTGTCATTCTCTTCAAAGACATGTTGACACTTTTACAGTTTTACAGTTATGAAGAGTAACAAAAGAACAAAATGATTAAAATGAATATTAAATCTATTAAATATGAAATAAATAGTAAAAATATATTATAAATCATAAATTAAAACCTGCAATTATAAATACAATTTTGCCTTTGGCTCCGACAGCTCAGAAGCGAAATATGATTCAGGAACTGGTTGGCCGTCCTTCTATGAGGCTCACGGGATATGGGAAAAAGACGAGAGTCACGCCAACATTGTCCGTCGTCCTGACAACTCACTTGGTAGCACAGGAACAGAGGTTATCTGCAAGCATGTGAGTGCAGGACAATGATGTCAGCCGGTTTAATCATTGTGTTGGCTTTTTCGGAAACCCTACTTTGTGCTGTTTGCCAACATACAATGTAAATAGTCAAATTTCCACTCTTCTTTTCAGGTTGCCAGATACCATTAACATGTCATTTTATTTTATAGTGTGATGCCCATCTTGGACACGTCTTTGATGATGGTCCAGATCCGACTGGCCAGCGATTCTGCATCAACAGCGTTGCTCTAAACTTTAAGCCCAGAGAGAAATAATGTAGAGACATCCAGCAAAAAACTCTGCATTTACAGTTATTCCATGCAAATAAAAAAACTAACAAATAGCATTTGAATAACACGTCCACTGTGCTATGCTTTGAGTTACAGTTTACAATGTTTATGGTGGGAAAAAATGTTTGGAGATTGTGTTTTAGGAAAAGTGCACTTTTAAAAATTTGAAAAAAAAATGGGTAAAGAGCATTTTAAACTGCTAAAGAACTCTTTCCACTGTAAAGAGCCTGTTGGAAGGGATGTTAAAGGATCTTATTGGAACCAGATGGCAATAAAAAAACGTTATTTTTAAGAATGTGGTCGATTAAATGTCCCACAAGAAGGTGTCGTTAAGTTCCTGTGCACTGCAATGTTGCGTTATGATATCTTGTATTTTTTTTAAGTACATTAAAATCGGATAATGCACACACTTTAAATATATATAAAGATTGTAAATGACATATCAGGTTGTATTAAAGTGAACATTGTCAGAAATGTGGGTTTGTGTGGGTTTGTCGATGAAGTTAATGATAAACCTGAGTAGAGGGTCATCATCCTAAACTGTATTTGGCAACGCTGGACAGTTGACTGGCTCTTATTAGCAAACTTCTAACAGAGCTGTTGGGGAAGACTGGGGTATAAAGCGTTATAGTAAAGCAACAAGTTAAAACAACCGATTTCATGATTCGCTTCTGGCTTTTGTTCTTTGCGCTCGCGTGGCTCGGTTTCTGGGAGCCTGCCGAGGCACGAAGAGCACGCTTTAAACCAACACCACCGAAGCCAAAGAAATCCGAGGCAGAACAGGCTATTGAAAAACTAGCTCCAGGTCAGAACATCAACATTGATCAGGTATATTTCAACAAGCTTCATGTCATAGCAATCAAGTTAATTCGTTTTGGCACACTGAATAACAAAGGTGCATCATTTTATAGGCTATGAGTGAACTTGTAGGCTATTATTCATATTGATAGGCCATTTATCTTGCCCAATGTTGTTTCAACAGAAGGCAGATATATTTCTTCATAAATGCACGCCCAGTTTATGATTTTACACTGATTGAAAACCCATTCTCTCCAGATGAGTGGGAAGTGGTACCTTCTTACTGTGGCATCACGGTGTAAGAATCTTCTGGAGAGCGGCTTCAAGGTGGCGAGCACGACTGCCACTTGGACTGTCACTGGTGATAAGGTGTCAGTGAGCACTGTGAGGAAACTGTGAGTACTGTTTAAGCCGCAAGGGGGAGCATTTTACTCACTTGCCAGCTGATCTTAGTTCACTTTATGATATAGTTCGATGTATCCAAATACCTTAATTACTTTTGGTTATGAGAGGGCAGGAAGACCCAAGAGAATAAGGTAAAAAAAACAAAAAAACAATACAGATATCACCATACTTTCCAGGTTATTGATTACATTACAATTTTTCTGGTATCTTATGTTTACATATACAAATGAGGTATTATCTAATTAAATATGCACTAAATTGCATACAATTCTAGAACAAAAAATCTGAACATTCGATAAAGACAGGTTTCAAATTCTTTTCATTTTACTTGACAGACTTTTTAATGAGTCGAAGTTCTTTTTACGGAGGGGATTTCGTATATCTCTTTTTATCGCTCTTTAAATCTGAAAATTCTGTCAACAGCCAGAAAAAAAAACAAAAAAACAAATGTTCACCATTTTTTAGGAATTAAATGTTGTTTAAAATCAAACAAAACATACAAACAACCCCTCTGTAAAAAATAAAACTGTAATGTTTGGTGTAGCTATACTGAAGTGGAGATTGGCTCAGTTTAGTAGAAAAATAAGAAAATAGTCTTTAAAGATATGTATTGTAATTGAAATCTACAGACACAAACAGATAAAGTGCAATAAAAGAAACACTTACAAGTGTAGTTTGGATGTTTTCTTAATTCCAGTATTCTGAGAAGAAAAAAAACACTTTATGAAAACTGCAAAAGCCCAAAATCTACATGGAAAAAAGGCAATTTCTTTCCTGCAGTGTCTTGCCTTAACAAGATCAAGATATTTTTTGAGGCATTACAAGTTCATCAGGCAATAAATACTAAATACTAAGCAATAAATGCTTCTAATTTTTATGAAATATGATGATAGTACCATATTGTGAGTGTTAGCCTACTAAATTGCACAGGAAGACCATGATTTCTTATGCAACTTTAAGAAAGTCACCTTTGGCAACTTGTATAGACTTTCATAAGCAAAAGCATTGGATGGGCAAGATACAGCTTGCTTTGTCAAAATAATTTTTACATGGACATTTTCCTTTATATTTAAATCACTAAGAAATGTAAATTATATATATAAATTTTTTTTTAAAATCTTTTCTACTTATCCATTGTGCTTTTTCCCAATGTTAGCAATTTTGAATGCTGGGAAATCAAGCAGAACTACATGAGAACAAAGACCCCTGGCCAGCTGTTTCTCAAAGGTAGGTATCTGGTGCCGACTGAACTGACCAACAGACAAGGGTTCAAAGTCATTCATACCACTATCTAAATCGATGGCTCTTTTTTGTTGTGAAATGCTCCCTGACCTGGACTGACAATTGGTATGCAATAGATGAAATAGATTTCATAATCTTCACAAGTGATTTTAAAGACTTAAAAAAAAAAAAAAAAGTTTGAAAAACCGAGTGATATTAATTATACCATGGCCTGTCTGAATACTCGGTTCTGATTGGCTAGCATGTATGCATTAAAACTGTTTAATGCACAAGTAGTTCCAAGTTAGTTTAATCACTGTTCTATATTAATGCACTGCTTTAATTGATGCACACAAACCCACACACATCACATGCACACACACACACACAGATTGCACTGAACACACACAGAAATTTGTTGTCAATGCTGCCCCGCGACTTTTATTAATATAATAGCTTAGATAGTAGATCGCTACATTATATTCCTGGTAAAATCGCTGTTTTTGAAGTAACTAAACACAGCTTAATTGTTTGTAGAGAGACGTGCAGTAATGCACACAAAACTGTCATCTCTCTCTCACTCTCTCTCTGTCGATCAATTAATTAATTCAAATAACTGCTATAATTCATTCAAATAAATGTGATCTTACCGCACAATTTCATCTCTGTGTCTGATTTGAAACGGACAGAATGCTAGCGCTAACAATTCATAACTGTCATTTTTACCCTTCTGGTAAAATATTGCACTCCAAATATCATTAACAGCTTTATACCATGGTATAAGTGAGATAATGCACGGCCGCTTCGTGTCGGGTGGTTCTAAGCCTCCACGTTGTGCATTGAAATTGTTTAATGCACAGCTAGCCGTGCCTTACTATAGGGATATGATTATGGTTTGGTTTAATGTTAGATAATTATGTAAACATTTTAATGCCAAGTTCTTTCATGAAACTCTAGAATGGCAGGCCGATGGGTCGTTAATGGAAACTGATGATATTCACAGCATGAAACTACTTGGCACAAGCTGATTGGTTCATGTTGTATACGCAGCCAATGAGCTTACTGCATTACATTTAAATGGCAGGTTAGCATTCACTAGAGCACTTGGCAGCACGCTTTCAGAGTTCCTCTGAAAGCCTCCACCTTCCCCAGCTCCACCTGTATAGATCTGCTATGGGTTATTATATGCTACTATATATGCGAATATATAATGTGTGTAGGTCTTTTACTTGCGCTTCTGCAAAATTCACTTAATTTATCAGGATTTAGTTTCAATTTTAGTCTAGCTCTGTGTTTAATCTGACTCCAATTTTAGGTGATCATTAATTTTAGACTATTTCTAATTAAAACTGATCACAAATATCAGTTATGTATTAATTTAGATATTTGATTAATCTGGACTTCCCATTCTTTCAATTATTCGTTCATTAGGGACCCAGTGTCGCTTAGGGCCTTGCATGACCAGTGCGGGTCTCTCGATCACAAACTCGCCAGTTCTGAGTTAGTCAGAGGATGCAGAGTAAACTAATACCTTTAAGTCAGTTGCCACTTGCACACTCATACAAAAAGTATATTTTCCTTAGTCACGCAGCTGCAACTTGCTAAGTCACTCATAGACAGAAATCAAAAGGTCCCACATGATGTGTGCCACATGCTTGATTCTTTGGGCCTTCAGTTTGACCAATCTTGGATGCAGATTTGCGGTAATACCAGACTTCACTTAATCTACTAGTCATAATGATTTCAGAAGAGTTCGGAATAAATCAAATATAACATTTTATTTGTCAGGTAAAAATGTATCATGCCAGTTTTATAAATAAACAATGAGAATCCAATTAACTTCAGTTCCAATTTAGAGGGGAAAGTGAGAGGGCAATGAGCAAGGAGAGCGGTTTGGACATGGTGTTGTCATTTGCTCTTTTTGGAGATCTCTTCTCCAGATTAGTTTTATTGTTTTGTGAGAGTTCCTAGACTTTGATTTCATTGGGAGATAATTTCGGCTCTTACAGCCAAGACCAAATGCATTAACATTGTCATATCCATTACCATGCTAAAATCTTCAGAGAGTTATCATGATAGAACTGCTATTACGAAAGTGCATCTAACATTTATTTTAAGGACACTAAAATAAAGTGTTTCTGTGGACAAATACATTTGATCCAGCATGTATTTTAACACTTTAGACACACTTAGAGTATGTATATTATTGCATTTACAACAACATGTTTGCAAATTATGCTCTAATGCTATAAATTATGCTTTATAGATAACATTTTTATTGTCATAGCCATCAGGTTCACTCAGGTGTCATAAGAGAGTTCCACTAAGTTTGACAACCATAAAGTGTCCAAATATGACGTTTTTTTTTTTTTTTTTTTAATAATTGTATTTGATTGTTTATAATTTAAATCATATTCTTAAACATAAATTCCTCTTGGTAGGTATTGATTGATTGATTGATTGATTGGCATTCAATAATGTCAAATTCTTTATGCAGGTAAGAGACCTGCTGAGAATGTGGACATAATGGTGCTTGAGACAGACTACAGCTCCTATGCTACGGTGGTTTTTAAAAGAGCAGGGAAAATGACCATGAAACTGTATGGTAGGTGTTCTATTTTAAACTTCTCAAACCCATTCTTTAGTGTCACAACGGCACCACTGTGGAAAAGAGCACTGTTTTAATAAAAATTTATTTCGTTTAAAAGGACGTTCCAGTGAAGTGCCTGATAATATAGTGGATAAATTTGAGGATCGTGCAAAGACATTTAATTTGGGATTGGACGTCATTTTCCAGTATCCTGACTATGGTGAGACAATGTACAAATTATAATAAAACAGCTGATAAACACTATATATATTTTTAAACTCGAGACTCTTTTCCAGGATTCTGCGAGTCCACAGAAAAGGTCCTGGGTAAGAGCTAGTTACAATTGTTTGTTTTTACATTGGCTTAATGTTTAATTAACTGGCATTTACAGAACGACATGTATATTGTTAAGTAATTTAATAACATTCTAAACATCGCACAGTTGATTCTAATGTCATATTGGCGCACGAGTCGTTATTTTGTAACGGTTCTTTTTAATGATTCAAATGAACCGATTCGCAGAGCTGATTTTAATACTCGTCAGTAGCTAATGGAAATCACTGACACAACATAAAAAGTATTCGAATACAGAGTCATAAAATGTTCAACTG